GATAACAGCAGAAAGTCCTGCGGCCTGGCGCGGTCTGCCCCCACGGCCGCGCGCGCCCTGAAGGTCTTGGCCACAGCGCGGATGTCCTCAGGAGACGCCAGAGCGAGAGGCTGTTCTCCCGACCGAAAAATGACTTGGCTGAGGTAGTGGACGGGGTCGGGCAAGTTGGCAACGTGAGGGGCAGGGGTCCAGATCTTCTTCCACTCCTCCTCCAGACATCTCATCTGCTCCTCAAGGCTGGGAGGGGGGCCCCCTTTGGGGTTGTCGGGGATGAACCCACAAGGCTTCTCGGTGAACCGGCGCGCCAGGCCTCCTCCTCCCTCGAGGGATTTAGCAACCCAAGTCCGCCACTGCTTGGCCCTCTTGGTGCGGAAGCGCCGTTCGAACAGCTCTGCCTGGCGCTTGGACGCAGCGGCAAACTGCAACAGCTGGTTAACCTCAATCGAGCTGAGCTGGAAATGCGCGCGCAACTGCTTCCACTCAGGGTTCTCGAGGAGCTTATGCGGGCCCGAGGCCAACTTGGAGCCCAGCGAGAGGATCTCTGGGTGGTCCCTGGGGTGGTCCTTCCTAAGCAGGCACGCCAACTCCAGAAACCAAGTGGCCACCTTCCGCCACGCGCGGCCTTCAGGACACGAAACAAGGCAATCTCCTCCAGAAGTCCGCACAGCTGAAACCTCCTTAAGCTTGAGCCCGTTGGCCCTGCCAGAATAGGTACGGTCCAAAGAATCAACGTTGCGGGCGCTCTTGAGTTCCGCCTCGAAGAGCTTGCAAAACTGAACGCAAGCCTGGTCCAGGTCGTCAGGGGCCACATTGGGTCTGTCGAGGACGTCGCTGCAGGGGGCCCACGACGGAGGCGCGGGGTAGGGACCCATGGGGCGCCCCTTCCGGAAAGGCTTGGGCCCTTGCAGAACTGGACCTTGGCCTCCAAGGGATTCCCTTCGAGCTCCAATGACACCGCGTAACGGGGCGATGTGGTGCTGGCCTCGTTACGATCAATCCTTCTCATGGCGGACTCGAGGCCCCGCGAGATAACAAAGAAATCGATGGTCCTCCACCGCTTGTCCGACTCGCGGCAAGCGGGCATGCTGGAATGCAAAGTTGCGCCTCCTAGACGGTCGACCCACCCAGCGTTGGGCAGCTGTGACGGGTGAGCATTCCAATCCCCCCAATGATGAAAGCGATCTGCAGCTGGTGGATCTCTTCGCCTATGCGATTCAAAACCCTGAAAGAGTCGAGGCCTAGCGGGCCGTTGCAATCCAAATAAAGCGAGAAGACCGCCAGGCCTCCTGGGGCGAACGCGTTGACCCACGCGGAGCAAGCCCTCTCAGGCTGAGGAAGAGGGCGAGCGAGTGGCAAAGCTCCGAGGGGGATGTGCGGACGAACCGCAATCCCTGCACCGCTGCTGAGCCCCCCTCCCAGGGTGGGGATACTGGGGTTGACGATAGATGTCCACCCTATGCTCTCCAGCTGGTTGACCCCCTCGCACGGCGGCCCCCCGAAGCTGAAGTCCTGAAGGAAAACGATGGCCCCCTGGGCCTCGTCCTGCAATTATGTTTTGAGAGATCACCAGGGCGCAGTATTGGCCGTATCGAACACCACGCGCTTCAACTCTGACGAGGAGGGAAGGGCGGGTTTGGCGCGAACGCCAGGCGTGCTGGCATCCTGCTCACTCGCGCCACCAGACTCACAGGCATGTCGGGGGCCTGTGCAAGCAGGAGCGGGAGACGCCGAAGCTGAAACAGGTCTCGTAGTAGATGATGGCTGCACCGCCCCTGCCGACGGCGACTGGACTGGATGACAGGGTAGCTGAGCAGGAAGGCGAAACGTAACTGAAACAACGATGATGCCGATGTCGCGCGCGCGCTGCTTGGAGCTCTCGGGGGGATTTCGGGCCGCCCCCAACCTAGCGCAGTAGCGCCCGCGGGAGAGGTATCGCGAGGCAAGCCGCGCCGCCAACATGTGGCGCCCTCTGCCTGCCATACTCGCGCCGATTCCCTGCCCCAGGGTCCCTCTAGGCGGCCCCAGCGCCGCGGGGGCGCTGGCCTACCTAGGGTTTCGTCTGGGGGGGGTCTCAGCGGTCTCATGGCAGGTGAGTGTGGCGACCATGTCGGGGACGTCGCAATCGAAGTCCCGAACGTAGTTGCCCACTGCCGTGGCATGCTAAAGTCCTGACTGAGAATGACCTGGTTCGACTGGGTTCCTTGAAGCTGCAATGGCCATGTCGAACCGCGACCTGTGCTCGGCAGAGTCCATAGCATCCACAGGGCGCTTCTCAGCGGTCGAATCCTGGGCGATGCCGCAGGCCTGGGCCACTGCGGCAGCCGATGGGGCCGAGGGGGCCCTCGGGCCTGGGGCGGTGGCAGGGGTGGCCGCGGGGCCCTCGGCTGCTGCGGGGGTGGCAGCCGCGGCCGCGCCAGGGGCGGCTGGCGCGCCACCTCCAGCAGCATCTCTGTCGCCCTCGTCGTCGTCGCCGACCTTGCGACGCTTGAGCTGCATGCGGGCGCGGAAGGCGCGCTGCTCGCCGACCAGCTCCTTGGCCCTCTGCTTGACCTGACCGAAGGACTCCGCCACCGCCCTCTTGATGGCGTCTTCGACCTCCGCCTTGCGCCTTGCGCCGAGCCACCTCTTCGCGCTCGTGTTCAGAGAGTTCGACGCCCTCGGCCTCCAACCCGAACAGGTCATCGCCGGCGAAGGTCTCCACGGGGGCGCGCTCGTCCAGCAGGCGTTCCAGGCTGAGGCCGTGGGCGCGGGGCGCGACTGCGGAGGCCGCTGTCGCGCCCGCGCCCTCAGGAGGCACATGCTCGGCCAGGAGACGCACTGCCCTGCGGTAGTTGGCTTGGCACTCCTCGAAATAAGAGAGGGCGTTGATGGCAGCCTGCTCTGCGTCGTGGAGCTGTTGCTTGAGAGACGCAGCAGCGCGCACTTTCTCATCCAAGAACTTCTTAGCCTCACGCATGGCGTGCTGAGCAGCCCCCGCTGTCTGGGGCTTGGGCACCACGGCCATCTGCAGCTGGCTGGCGTAACAGTTGTACAAGTCGGCACTGTGCGTGTCGCCGACGCGCTGGAAGTTCGCGGCCAGACTGAGCAGCACTGACACATCCTCCTTGGAATAGTTGGTCCAAGAGTGATTACCTGCCGAGCGGAGCCATCCAGAGTCACCCAGCTGAAGTCAAGGCATTCTGGGCTCACTCGCTGGCTTGCCTGGGCCAGGTGGCTGCGGAGCTGAAGACAGGCCATCGGCTTGACCCTTGCCTTTGCCCTTGTCAGGCTTGCCACCCTTGCCGCCCCTGGTGAGCTGGGATCCGCCTGCGCCCGCAGCGCCCCCATCGCCCAGGGCGCGGTGGGCGCGAATGGGAGGCCTGCTGGCCCAGGCGCCCGAGGCCTCGGGCGGAGCGGACGGAGCCACGAAGGACAGTGGCCGCAGGCAATGCTTGCAGAACCAGTAGTGATTCTTGTTCTTATTGCAGCCGCAGTGGGGGCAAGGCGCTTTGCTGAGCGCCTCGCCGTCGCGGCACCATTGCTGAGGCACGCCTGTTGGCTTGCGCACCCAAGGATCACGAAAGAATAGAGGAGCCATCGGCGAGCTGCAGCCAGGGGCTGACCTGACTGGGACGTCGTTGCTCCTGCAGGAGCTCACCAAAGAAAATGAAAGGAGCCAACCTCGTCTGACAGGCAACGAAGAAAAACTGTGGGGGCCGCCCTTCCCCCTTGCCAAAACAGCCAGGTCCTGTGCCGAAGCACTACGGACTTGAGCCAAAATGGCTACGGAAGGTAAGTTTGTAAGTTTCTTCCTCCTCCTCCTCCTCCTCCTCCTCCTCCTCCTCCTCCTCCCCCTCCTCCTCCCCGCCCCCTCCTCCCACTCCCCTCCTCCTCCTCCTCCTCCTCCTCCTCCTCCTCCTCCTCATCCTCTTCCTCCTCCTCCTGTTTCTCCTCCTCCTTTTCCTCTCCTCCTCCTCCTCCTCCTCCTCCTCCTCCTCCCCCTTCCTCGTGTTCCTCCTCCTCGTGTTCCTCCTCCTCCTCTCCTCCTCCACCTCCACCTCCTCCTCCTCCTCCTCCTCCTCCTCCTCCTCCTCCTCCTCTTCCTCCTCCTCCTCCTCCTCCTCCTCCTCGTCCTCCTCTTCCTCCTCCTCCTCGTCCCTCCCCGTCCTCCTTCTCCTCCGTGGTTTCCGGTTCCTCCTTTTCCTCCTTGTCCTCCTTCTCCTACTTTTCCTCTTTCTCCTCCTCCTCCTCCTCCTCTTCCTCCTTTTCCCCCTTTCCCCTCATTATCATCATGCTCATCCTTTTCCTCCTGCCCCTCCTTCGTCTTCGTCTTCATGTTGTTAGTATGATCTTAGTCATATTATTATTAGTGACATGATTATTATTGTTGTTTTGGTTATTAGTTTTATCATTGTTATTCGCAATATTATTAGCAACAGCAGCATCATCACCATCACCATCATCATCATCAGCACCACCATCAGCATCATCATCAGCATCACTACGATTATTCACAGTATTCGTATTATTAATAGTATTATTATTATTAGTATTAGTATTATTATTCGTGTAAGTAGTATTAATATTATTATTAATATTTTTATAAGTACTACTATTATTACTATTAGAATTATCAGTATTATTAGTATTATTAATATTATTAGTATTAGTGTTCTTATTATGAGTATTACTGTGATTATTATTAGCATTATTACTAGTATTAATAATTCCAATACTACTATTATCAGTATTATTACGAGTATTTTTCGTATAATTATTAGTATTGTTATTATTCGTAGTAGTCGTGCTAGCATTCTTACTCTTAGTATTATTATTATTGCTACTGGCATTATTATTGTTAGTAAAATTATCCTCATTATTATTCGCCTTCGTATTATTATTAACATCAGCATTATTATTATTATTACTGATATCAGCATGCTTATTATTCTTATTGTTTGTGCTTCTCCTCCTCCTTCCACTCCTCCTCGTCCCACTCCTCCTCGTCCTAGTCCTCGTCCTCGTTCTCCTCTTCCTCCTCTTCCTCCTCCTCCACCTCCTCCTCCTCCCTCTTCCTCCTCCTCCTCCTCCTCCTCCTCCTCCTCCTCCTCCTCCTCCCCCTTCCTCTTCTCATCCTCCTCCTCCTCTTCCTCCTCCTCCTCCTGCTCTTCCTCCTCCTCCACATCCACCTCCATCTCCATCTTACTATTCATTATGTGTATTATTCCTCTTGTCATTTGTTCTCTGATTCTTCTTATTCCCAACCATCCTGTGGTGTTGGTCCTCGTTTTGAGGAGTCAGCGCCCCGCGTTCTTTCCTCTTCCCGTTGCCCCCCCATCCCTACCCCCATCATCAGCATCATCGTCACTATCATCGCCATCGCCCATAGTCCATCAGCATCACTATCTGCAGCATCATCATTTTCCATATCCACATCCTCCTCCTCCTCCTCCTCCTCCTCCTCCTCATCACCCCATCATCATCATCAGCATCATCAGCATCATCATCATCATCATCAGCATCGTCATCATCATCAGCATCATCACCACCATCATCATCGTCGTCGTCCCCACCACCCATGTCGGCACACCCCTCACACGCTTCGTGGCCCCATAGGGAACTCCAACTAAGGTCCCTGTGGCGCAGCTCGCATGGCGGCGCCGCCCCATGGCGGCACACCCGTCACACATTTCGTGGCCCCATAGGGAACTCCTCCTAAACGGCGCAGCTCGCATGGCGGCGCCGCCTCATTTTGGCACACCCCTCACACGCTTCCCGACCCCATAAGGAGCTCTTCCTAAGATCCCAACGGCGCAACTCGCATGGCGGCGCCGCCCGATTGTGGCACACCCCTCACACGTTTCGTGGCCCCACAGGGAGCTCCAACTAAGGTCCCAATGGCGCAGCTCGCATGGCGGCGCCGCCCCATTGAGGCATACCCCATCACACGTTTCGTGGCCCGCTAGGGAACCCCTCATACGGTTTCACTGGCGCAACTCGCATGGCGGCAACGCTCCATTTTGGCATATCCCTCACACGTTGCGCGGTTTCAAAGGGAACTCCAACTAAAGTCCCAACGGCGCAGCTCGCATGGCGGCGACGCCCCATTTGGGCAAATCCTCACACGTTCCGTGGCCCCATACGGAGCTCCTCCTGAAGTCCCAGCTGCGCAGCTCGCATGGCGGCGCCGCCACATTGTGGCACACCCGTCACACGTTTCGTGGCCCCGTAGGCAGCTCCTCCGAAGGTCCTAGCGGCGCAGTCCGCATGGCCCCGCCGCCTTATATCTCCCGGTCCCGTGGACTCTCGCCCTGGGCCGTCGGCTGTCCGGCGCGCTGCTCCCTCGGCCGACATCGCCCACGCGTGATCCTGGACTGCGGCCGCCACGAGGTCGGGAATGGCAGGAACTAGGACGACGACTGGCGGCTGGAGCTTTACGCGGTGCTCTCGCGCGCCACGCGCCACGAGGACCTCTTGCTCATGCGGGCGCCGCGCATCGAGTTCTTCCTGGCAGGGCCGCCGGAGGGCTTGCGGAAGCTGTTGGAGCAGTTTGCTGCGCGCACGAAGCGGTAGAAGGAGGGCGACGGCCCTCGCCATGGAGCTCGGTGTCACCGAATTTTTCCGCGAGGCTTGACCTGAGGAGCGACCCGCCCGAGCCTCGCCGTCTCTCGACGGTATGACTGTTTGGCCTCGCGCCGCGGGCGACCCGCGCGCGTCGATGGGACCCTCTCGGGGCGACCAGCGCGCGTCGCGGGAACTCTATGCTGCGCTCTGCCCGGCGCCTCGCTCGCCCCCGTCGTCGCTCTGCCCAGCGGCCCGAGCCTTGCCCGCTTTCAGCCGGCCTGCTGGCTTTCTCTCTGCTCCGTGCAGCGGACGACCCGCGCGCGTCGTCGGGACCCCTTCGGGGCGACCAGTGCACGTCGCGGGGACTCCGTGCGGCGCCGCGCCCGCAGCGTTGGACATGGGCGCGCGCGGGCAAAGAGGGAGAAAAAAGACGGGGAGGAAGCGGGCGCGATCCTCGTGAGGGGCGTGCCGACATGGGCGTCGAGATTTACGCACGTAGACTCACGCGCACGCAGACTCATTCACAATCAGACTCCCTCGCGCTCACAGTCACCCGCTCTCAGTCTCTCGCACACAGACCAATCGTTTTGGTTCGCGTTATGTGCCCCGCGACGCATTTCGGCACGCCCCTCACGGTCTGTCACCCCATAGGGAGCGCGGGCGAAGATGATTTTCAAAATTGCGGTATTCACAACTGCATATGGTTGGGCCCTTCGCCATGATAAATGCTGTCAATATGATTCTTAGTATTCGTCGTTTCCTTCTTATACTAATTATTATCCTCCTCCTCCTACTTCGCTTCATCATCCGCCTCGTCCTTTCCACTATCATAATCATCATCACCACCATCATCACCATCACCACCATCATCATCATAATCATCATGATCATGATCACCATCATCAGTACATCAGCAGCATCATCATCATACTCATCACCATGACCATCTTCATCAATAGCATGATGGTGATCACCATCATCAGCACCAGCATAATCGCCATCGTGATCATCGCCCAACTCAGTCCTGATCTTCATCACCATCACCATCATCACCTGAATCACACATGTTGTCATCACCGTCACAATCAGCACGGACATCATGATCGTCATCATCATGATCACTAGAATCAGCATCACCATCATCATCATCATCACCATCATCACCATCATCAGCATGATCATAATCCGCATAAGCATCATCATTTTCATCATCATCATATAATCATCAACATCCTCGTCACAACCACCCGCATCATCATCCTAATCATCATCACCATGATCATCGTCATCATAATCGTGATCATCATCAGCAGCACCATCATCATCACCATCACCAGAATCATCAACAGGATCATCATTATCATCATAATGATCATCATCATCAGCATCATGATCATCATCAGGATCATCATGGTCGTCGGCATTTTCAGCAGCATCATAATCATCATCAGCATCAGCATCAGCATCATCAGCATCAGCATCATCAGCATCATCACAACCATCATCATCAGCATTAGCATGGTCATCATCATCACCACCATCATCATCAGCATTAGCATCATCATCGTCAGCACACGCAAAAACAGCACAATCAGCAACAGCCTCATCATCACATCACCTCATCATGATTATCATCATCATCCTCACCTCATCGTCAGCAGAATCAGCGTCATCATCAACATGATCGTAAGCATCATAAGCAGCAGCCTCACCATCGCCATTACCAGAGTCATCACAATCATCACCATCATAATCATTATCCACATCACCATCATCACCATCATCATCCTCACAGTCATAGCATCATCCCCATCACCATCATCAAAAACAACATCATCACCAACATCCTCAGCAGTGTCATCATCATCATCAGCCCCTTCATCGTCGTCAGCATCGTCACCACTATCAACAACATCATCCTCACAGTAATAGCATCATCCCCATCACCATCATCACCAACACCATCATCATCAGCATCCTCAGCAGTGTCATCATCATCATCAGTCCCTTCATCGTCGTCAGCATCATCACCATTATCAACAACATCAGCATCACCAACAGCACTATCATCAGCATCACCATTAGCATGACAACCATCAGCACCTGCAGCATTATCCCAACGGCAGCAGCAGCATCATCATCATCATCATCAGAATCAGCATCATCATCATCATCATCATCATCAACATCAAGTTCAGCAGCATCAGCATCACGACTACCACCATCATTATCATCAGCATCAGTAGAGTCATCATCATCGCCATTAGCCTCCGATTCATCATCATCATCATCATCATCATCATCATCGTCATCATCGTCATCGTCATCAGCTACAATATGATCATCATCATCATCATCATCATCATCACCCCCATCATCTTCATCCCCATCCGCATGAACGTGATCATCGCCATCATCATCGTCATCACCACATTCACAACCATCATGGTCCACATCGCACTCATCACCAACATCATCACCATCGTCACCGTAATCGCCGTTATCATCGTCATCAGCGTCGCCAGCATCATCATCATTATCGTCGTCATGATCATCACCATCATCATAATCACCAGCAGCAACCCATCATCAACGACATCATCCTCATCATCGTCATCATCGCCGTCACCATCATCAAAACCAGCACCGCCACCACCATCATATTCAACACCCCCTCCTCCGACCCCTTCCTCCACATCCCTCCGCCCCCTTTCCCCCCGCTCCTCTGCGGAGGAAAAACCACGACGACGATGACGACGGCCGCTACCACCTCGACGACCGCGAACACGACGACGACGACGACAGCGACGGCGACGGCGGCGGCGGCGGCGACGGCGGCGGCGACGGCGACGGCGACGACGACAGCGACGGCAACGGCCACGACGAAGGCGGCGGCGACGACGACGGCGACGGCGGCGGTGGCGGCGACGGCGACGGCGACGGCGACGGCGACGGCGACAACGACGGCGACGGCGACGGCCACGACGACGGCGGCGGCGACGAGCACCACCACGACGTCCAAGACAACGACCACCAAAACGCCGACGACAACGCTGACGACGACGCTGACGACGACGCTGACGCTGACGCTGCGACGACGACGACGACGGCGGCGGCGGCGGCGGCGACGACGACGACGACGACGGCGACGGCGACGGCGGCGGCGACAGCGACGGCGGCGGCGGCGGGGATGGCGACGGCGACGACGACAGCCACGGCGACGGCGACAACGGCGACGGCGGCGGTGGCGGCGGCGGCGGCGGCGACGACGACGACGACAACAACGACGACGGCGACAACGAGGGCGACGGCGACGGCGACGGCGACGGCCACGACAATGGTGACATCGACGGCGACGGCGACGGCCACCACCACGACGTCCAAAACAACGACAACCACAACGCTGACGACGTGCTGACGACGACGCTGACGCTGACGCTGACGCTGGCAACGACGCTGACGACGACGACGACGACGGCGGCAGCGACAACGGCGGCGACGGCGCCCGCGACGACGACGACGACGACAACGACGACGACGATCACGACGCTGACGACGGCGACGGCGACGGCGACGACCACCACCACGACGGCGCTGACGACGACGCTTTCGCTGACGCTGGCGCTGACGAAGACAACGACAATGACGACGACGACGGAGGCATCGGCGGCGACGGCGACGGCGACGGCGACACCGACGGCGACGACCACCAATGCGTCCACGGCAACGACCACCACGACGCTGACGACGACGCTGACGCAGACGCAGACGCTGACAACGACGACGACGACGACGACGACGACGGCGACGGCGACGGCGACGGCGACGGCGACAACGACGGCGACTGCGGCGGCGACGGCGACGACCACCACCACGACGTCCACGACAACGACCACCACGACGCTGACGACGACGCTGACAAATACGACGACAACGACAACGACGACGACGGCAGCGGCGACAGCGACGACGACGACGACGACGACGACGACGACGACGACGGCAACGGTGGCGGGGACGACGACGACGACGACGACGACGGCGACCGCGACGGCAACGGCCACGACGACGGCGGCGGCGACGGCGACGGCGACGGCCACCACCACGCCGTCCACGACAACGACCACCACGACGCTGACAAGGACGACGCTGACAACGACGATGACGCTGACGCTGACGCTGGCAACGACGACGACGACGACGACGACGACGACGACGGCGGCGACGGCGGTGGCGGTGGCGACGCTGACGCTGGCAATGACGACGTCGACGACGACGACGACGACGCCGACGGCGACGGCGGCGGCGACGGCGGCGGCGGCGACGGCGACGTCCACGACAACGACCACCACATCGCTGACGACGAAGCTGACGCTGACGCTGACGCTGACGCCGATGACGACGACGACCACGACGACGGCGGAGGGCGACGGCGAGTGCGGCGACGACGACGACGACGACGACGACGACGACGACGGCGACGACGGCAGCGACGGCGACAGCGGCGGCGACGGCGACGGCGACGGCGACGGCGACGCTGACGCTGACAACGACGACGACGACGACAACGACAACGACGACGACGACAGCGACGGCGACGGCGGCGGCGGCGACGGCGACGGCGACGACCACCACCACGACGTCCACGACAACGACCACCACGACGCTGACGCTGACGCTGACGCTGACGCTGACGCAATCGCTGACAACGACGACGACGACGACGACGACGACGACGACGACGACGGCGGCGACGGCGACTGCGACGCTGACGCTGACGACGACGACAACGACGACGACGACGGCGGCGGCGACGGCGGCGGCGACGGCGGCGACGACGGCGACGGCGACGCAGACGCTGACAACGACGACGACCACGACGACAACCACGACGACGACGACGACGACGGCGACGGCGGCGGCGGCGACGGCCGCGGTGGCGACGCTGACGCTGCGACGACGACTACGACGACGACGATGACGATGACGACGACGACGGCGGCGGCGGCGGCGGCGACGACGACGACGACGACGACGAACAACGGACAACGACGTGTGGCTGGAGGCGCGGGCCGCGCGCGGCCTGCAGCTGCTGCGGGGTGACCTGGCCCCGCTGCGCCAGCAGGCCGCTCAGGGCGCTGATGGCCTCGGCGGGCGGCCGGAGCGGCGGCGGGCCACGGCAACGGCGGCTGCGCTGACGGCGGCGGCAGCGACTGCGGCGGCGGCGATGGCACAGAGTGCGGCGGCGGCGATGACGGCGGCGATGCGGCGGCGATGACGGCGGCGATGCGGCGGCGGCGGCGGCGGCGGAGGCCACGACGACAGCGACTGCTGAGGCGGCGTTGACGACCGCGGCTTCGGCGGCGGCGGCGGCGGCGGCGAAAGCGACGACGGTAGCGGCGGCGGCGGCGGCGGCGACGACGACGACGACGCGGCGGCGGCGGCGAAGGCGAGGGCGGCGTGTAGGACGAGGAATAAGAGGACGAGATAGTCTCTTGGGAGCCCTGGACGTCCCTGAAGGTCCACCCAAGAGGGAGAGGAAGAGCTGAGGAGGTTGCGGAATCCGCCTAGGTTTATCCGAGGACGACCCTGGGACGACGGAAAGAACAAGCAGGGTGAAAACATCATGGGCATAGTGGGACTGTCAACAGAAGACCTGCAAAATGACCCAGGCGTGCAAACAGAGGGCGTGCATTGCAGCACAGCTGCGTCATAAGCAAAACACTCTCTGTAGACAGAGTCGGCGGAAACATGCACCGACGCAGATTGGTAACATGATGGGGAAATCATGGTTGAAACTTGCCCGGCTGTGCGGTAGAAGCTATTGGCCGCGCCGCGAGAGCACAGTTCTGCCTGAAGGGCGGTGGTCAATATATCTGGAAGTAGGGAGGATGAAGTAAGGATGAGAAGAGTGAGGAGGAAGGGGAGGAACGGGAGGAAGAGGAGGAGGAACCAGGAGGAGGAGGAGGAGGAGGAGGAGGAGGAGGAGGGAGAGCGGCGCTCCACACCTGACCGAATTGCTACACCCACGCCGTCGCCCCGCATCGTCTCCGAGTGGTGTCGCCAGCCCTCTTGCTACCAGGCCCAGGGTGGGAGGAGGTGGAGGGGCACGTGGTGCCCTGCATCCCCCGACTGCACGCCGGCACGCCCGCACGCCCCGCGCGCTGCTGGGCAGGGCGGGCGCCATATCTCGGGCGGGACGCCGAGAGCTCGCACCGCTTTCGTTGTCTCCCGCGGCCGGGAGTCCGACCCGCTCGGGGAGGCCGCTCGCGCTCGCAGGTCGCTCAGGCGAGCGAGGCACAGAAGACCAGGATCTTTTTGGGAGGCCTGTGGCCCCCGATGTTATAAGCCGTCGAGTATGCGCGAGGAGGTGGGGCGGGATCTCTGGGGCGAGGGCGAGGAAGAACAGGACGCCGCCCTCCTCTCCGAGCTTCGGGAGCGGGACGAGCTGGCGGAGGCCGCCCCCCATCTTCCTTTTCGCTTGATCTCGACAATCTCGGGGAGCCCTCCTTCCTAGCAGGCGCCCCGGCCCGAGAAAATCCCAGAGGTGCTGAGGTTCGCTGGGAAGAACTTTCCCCCGACGAGCGTCGGGACGTCGAGTCAGCCGACCTCAGGGAATGGGAAGCCACGGTGTCCTCCGGAGCCATGCGAGTTCTCTCCGCCGAGGAAGCCCGAGCTGCCAAGCGTCGGCACCCCGACAGAATTCTTTCGCCCCGCATGGTCCGGCGCGAGAAGCCGGTGGGAGGCGTGGGCGAGAAGCCGGTGCCGAAGTCAAGGTGACGTGCGCACGGGCGCCGGGACCCGGACGGAGAAAGCTTGAGGGTGTACGCTCCGACGCCACAAACCGAGAGTGCTCTTACTGTGCTCCAGATCGTTGCCTCGTTTCGCTGGACCCTTAAGATAGCTGACGCTAAGAATGCGTTCTGTCAGAGCGAGAAACTAAGGCGTCCGAATGGCGCGATCTACGTCGAGCCCTGTCAGGGTCTCCCCCTCGGATCGGATCAAGTGATAGACCTCGTTGCCCCCGTTTACGGTCTGAATGACGCGCCCCTGCTGTGGCACGGGACCCTTACCGACTACCTGGCCTCCCTCGGGTTTGTGAAGTCCCTTCTGGCGCCCTGCCTCTGGCTTAAGCGTGGCAAGGTCAAGTGGTTAGAGGGTCTAGTCCTGATTGAAGTGGACAATCTCATCGTCGCTGGACGCGACGAATTCACTGCTGAGTTTCGCAACCGACTGACTTCCCGATTTCATTTCGGAAAGTGGAAGGAGACTGAGGCGGACTACGGGGGCAGACGCTTTCGGCAGTTCCCCGACAGGATTACGATATATCAAGGTATATATATACACACAAGGGAGAAATTGTCGTGTCTGCATCTGGACAAGTCTCGCCGCGAGTGCCCGGATGAACTCCTTTCCCCGTCAGAAATAATGTCATACACAGCTGTGATCGCCCAAGTTCAGTGGGTTGCTCGAGAATCTCGCCAAGACGCGGCGGGCGGAGCCTCGTTGCTTGCTTCTGCGATGCCCAATCCGTCGGTGGCCGATGGGTTGATGCTGATCAGGATATGCAGGTACTTGAAGGGGACAGCAAGTCAGCGTCTGACGATTTGGGGACTGGATCCGTGCTCGTTAGATTTCATTACCGCCTCCGACGCTGGGGGTCCAGGAAGTGCCGAACGGGAAGGCGCCCAAGGAGTTGTTCTCGTCCTCGCCGCCGACGCCCGAATGCGGAATCACGTCAGATAGCGTGTGAGCCTGCTGTCGTGGAGGTCCCAACGTTTGAAGAGAGTCGTGGGCTCGACGGTCGCGGCCGAGACCGTCACTCAGGAGTGATACTGCCGAGGCTCAGTAGCTTCAGACTCTGTGGAGAGATTCTGTCCACGGGGACGTCCCCCGTCCCGATCGGTACGCTGCTGCCTCGCCTTTTGCTGTGATCGTGTCCCCGGAGTGCTCTCTTGGAGAGAAGGCCAGCGCTCTCTCGATCGTGAGCGCGGAGAGCGCGTTCCACACTCTGTCACGAAGCACGGCGGGCTCTCGGGCGGAGCGGCGGAACTCCGTGGAGCTGGCGGTGGTGAGGGACTCTCTCTGTGGGATAGGCTCCACGGTCCGTTGGCTCCCCCACGGCAGGATGCCGGCGGACCCAGTCACAGATTTGCTGACCCCGCGAAGGCGAGCCTTGCTCTCCACGACCTGCTGTGTCGTGGTACCCTTTGTCTCGTAGACGAGCGCGGACACATCAACGAACGATCATTGGACGTGGCTCTGAGATCTCGGTCTCGTGGGGCCTCGCGTCGGGCTTTGTTGGAGGGAGCTCAGGCGCGAGACGAGGGGGGTGATCGGGGTTCCCCCCTGTGCTGACTAAGGACAAGATCGGTACTAAGGTGATGGATGATAGGAGGCAGGAGGAGGAGTATCAGGAGAAGAGAGAGGGCAGAGGAGGAAGAGGTCCCGTCTGCCTCACGTTCGAGGCCGGACGCCTCCGGGTGGAAGAGGACGGGGGGAAGCTGGGGTTGAGGGCTGAGGAGAAGCCAAGCACGCTAGAGTTTGGGTCGCTGTACCCCACCCCCTTCGAGGCCCCCATCGCGGTGTCCTTTCCAGGTCCCCTCCATGCTTAGCCTCTTTGGCTCAGGCGCCCCGTCCCATGACGGGCGCTGCGTGGTGGACCTCCCACCTTCCCAGCGCCGACTAAAGTGTCCCTTCCCTTCACCTACCCTCCAGCCTGTTGAGACAGCGGCGACGGCCAGCTATGGCGCCGGTGCTCTCGGAGGGGACCTAAAGCGGCGGGCGTCAAACCAGCCTCCCACAGGCCAGACATCGAATCCTTGGGCTGCATGGGGGGCGTGGCCAGAAGCCCCAGCCTTTGAGCGGGTGTGCGGCAGGTCGGGTAAGCGCCCCAGAGCGCAAGGCTGGGCGTAGGGTGGAGAAGGAGGAGGAGGAGGATGAGGAGGAGGAGGGGGAGGGGGAGGAGGAGGGGGAGGAGGAGGAGGAGGAGGAGGAGGAGGGAGGAGGAGTAGGAGGAGGAGGAGGAGGAGGGAAGATGAGGGGGAGGAGGAGAGGAGGCATGGCGAACCTTCTGGCGTCGCGGCCACGCGTGCGGCGGCGCGGCGCAGGTCAAGTCGGGCGGGAATGCGACGGGCCAGGCCAGCTCACGCAGCGAGGCAAAATAGGGCCCGCCCATAGGGGAGACGACAGCAACACTCGCGGGGGGGCGGTCGCGAGGGGGCAGGGGAAAGATGGGGGGAAGAGGGGGACGCGAGGAGCGATGGGGGGGAAGAGGGGGCAGGGGAAAGATGGGGGGAAGATGGGGGAAAGAGGGGGGGAAGAGGGGAGAGAAGGTGGGGGGAAAGAGGGGGACGCGAGGACCAGGAGACGCACTGCGACAATAGCGAGCCAATGAACCAAGCGAGGCACACACACACACACACACGTTTTGGCGCTCGCGGCCTCGCGCGCAGCAGCGACGCGGAGAAAGTCAAGCACAGCGAACGTGACCCTGCGCGCGCAATCACACACACACACACACACACACGCACGCACACACGCACGCACACACACACACACAACACACACACCACACACACACACACCACACAACCACACACACACACACACGCAACGCACGCACGCACGCACGCACGCACGCACGCAAGCGGCGCGCGACGCGCCGCACGCAAGCGCGCGCGCGCACGCCGCACGCACCACCGCACGCACGCAACCACACACACATACACACGCGCGCGCGCGCGCACGCGCGCGCGCGCGCGCACGCAGGCACGCACGCACGCACGCACGAGCAGGCGGCGCCTGGCCTGGGCCGCCACGGCCGCCGTGGGATCCACGGAGGGCTTCTGGATGCCGAGGCCCGCCTGCGCCGAGGCGGCCCGCATCGCTGCGGAGTGGTCGAGGCCCTGCCAGAGGAGGGGGGGTCTCCTCCTCATCCTCCCCTTCTCCACCTCCTCCTTCTCCTCCTCCTCGTCCTCCTTCTCCTCCTCCTCCTCCTCCTCCTCCCCTCCCTCTCCCTCCCCTCCCTCCCTCCCTCCCGCTACACCTCCCTCTGCCTCCCTCCATCCCTCCTCCCTCCCTCCCCCTTTCCCCCCTTCCTCCTCCTCCTCCTCCTCCTCCTCCTCCTCCTCCTCCTCCTCCTCCTCTGTAGCCTCCGTAGCCATTTTGGGTCAAGGGGCCTGCTCCTGAACTCCTCAACCTCGCTCAAGTGCTGCTCAAAGAAGGACTGGGTCCCCTCCCCTCCTTCCCGCGCCTCGCGATACCAGCAGGTGTCATGTCTTGGATCTACGTCACGAACCCGAAGACCTCCCCGGGCGTGGACGCCCTTCTCAGGACCTTAACCCCTCCCCCCCTGATCGGGGGGTGAGGGCAGCCCATGCTCAGTCCAAGGCCGCCGCAAAGGCACGGTTTCGTCAGGTCACTGAAGACCCTCAAGATGCCCAGGACTTGATTGACCTCGAGGAGATGGAAATTTTGCATAATCAACATCTTACTGGGCTGGAAAAATAACACCCCCGAGTGGGCAACGTCCTGCAACCTACCGTGGATCATTCCCGTGATCGGCTTGATCAGTATAAGCACCATCGGGACGCACTACTACCTGATAGCGCAAAGCTCAAGAAGGCTCAGCATATACCATGGACTAACCAGAAGCTCAAAGGTTAACCACGAGTTCACCGAGCTCTGCGGCCAGATCGAGCTCCTAACCGAGCACTCGAACGATGCCAATGACAAAGAGTTGGATATGGAAAGCAGGAGGAACAGGTTGGAGCAGAGGTTAGGGTACTGGGAGCTGCGGCTGGGGGCCACGACGAGGCTCCGGGTGAATTCGCCCCAAGCCCTTCCACTCCAGAAAGTATGCTTGTCAATCTCTCTGCACCAACACATGATATTGTTGGCGATGACGCTGACCCCCACCACCCGGCAGGCCCTCCAACACCTTGTTGGGAAGTACCCTCCGCCTCCCTTTCCCCGTGGTGACCCGCCCGCCGGAGGCGGCAAAGCATGCGACGAGGAAAGGGACATCGAGGATGTAATCAGCGACGAATTCGGCCACCCTGGCGAGAAAGACGCCGACTCCATCAACAGCAACATCTCCCAGCCTCATAATTGCGACGTGCACGTTGGTCTGACGAGCACATAGATGAGGAGGCTGGTGACGATGAATGGCCTCCCCGTCGCGTCCCTCGTGAGGCTCACCCGGGTCGTGGCGGCAAAGGGGAAGGGGACGAGGACGGGGCGGGTAACCCACAGGGGCCTGACCCCAACAGTATCCGTACAAGTATTCCGAAGGAGTGCCCCAACCCTCCAGTACCTGATCCAGTAAGGCCTCCAGAAGGAACCAAGTGAAACTACCAGGTCGTCAATGCGAATGTTATCTCCTGGAACTCGTTCAAGGATGACTTGAGCCACGGGTTGTTCGGCATTGCTACAGTTTTGCTAGTGTAAGAAGCTTCGATTCCAAATGACGATACTGTTCGAAGCGCGGTCGAACACTGCGACTCTATAGGGTCGCATAGCTACTTTGATAAAGCTCAGTTGAAAGACTCGGGGACGTACTCGGGAGGTGTGGGCATCCTAGTTCGGAAAAGCCTTAAACTTAGAATAGTACGAGCTGATTTCCCAGAATATCATGAATATCCCAGCCGGCTTCTTTGTTAAATATTGGAGGTGCAAGATGTTGGGACTCATATTGTAGCATGCGTATCCTTCGAGACCCGAGTAGGGTTGAATGAGACAAACGTGGGGCTCTTAGCGAGTCTGGCAGCGATGCAGGCAGCTGATGGTTTACCCATTCTTGCTGGTGGTGACTACAACATGCCGCCAGAGCGAATTTTGAGGCTTCATTATTTGGGCTGGGCGGGTTTCCAGATCATCGCACCTGGCAGCTACACTCATTCGACTAAGAAATGTAAGACTAAGATCTACTACTTCATAGCGTCGGCGGCAATGCAATGCAGATGGACAGGGTTATGGCGCATCACTCCTTTCCCCTCACCACTCAGTCCTGTTTCAGTTGATAGCGAAGCTACAGGGGTGGAGGAAGGTCCCTGTTCTGTGGAAGCCGCCCCGAATCCCCACTAAGCGAGCCTTTGGGCCTCGGCACGCCCCAGTCGGCCGGGGTGATGTTGATGACGTCGTTGACGAAGTTTTGGAGTACGTCCAGGCTCATGATGGTAATCTGGAGGCTTGGCATAATGTTCTACGTGCAAAAGGTTGAGGAGACGCTAGGTAGACTCACAGACACTCCTATTCGGAAGCGTTCGAAGAGGGGCCATGCAGCATAGATAGTGTGGGTGCCCAGGAAGGAGGTTCACAAGCAGTCTCGTGCCACTTGGAGAGCCTACGACAAGCCCTTGGTGTGGCTCCAAAACTGGACCCAATCATTGCATCGCTTTTCGGAAGGAGCTTCGGACCACTACTTGGAGCAGCTCTCGGAGGAGATTCAGGAGTGCCCCACTGAGTTCTATAGTTGCTCCCCTCTGATCGACTTGCACAGCAGAGCATGCCAACACATTCATGCATTGCTGATCGACGAGCGGGGAGACCGCCTACGGAAGGACCTGGCTGTTCATGCAGTGAGAGTTTTCCACGGCGAGTTCGCGGACCTTCGAGCAGGAGCGCGACAGCTTCAAGCAGGGCGCACTGCGGGCCTGGAAGGGCTGGGTGGCCCAGGCCATGGGGATGGATACGGTCTGGGCGCACAAGTGGAGTCGTCTTACAGTACTGGCACCCGGCGGCAGCAGACCCCTCCGAGTCGGCCAGACCGACGGAGCTTCTGAAACAGGAGGGGGAACGGATCGAGAAACTCTGGAATTCCAAGCACTCCCAACAACCGCTCTTCACCCCTCCCCCAGGGGCTGGAGAGACCTACAACCCATCAAAAGTGGGACAGTGCTTAAGGCTTCCAGGACATTCTCCCATAAAACAGGCCAGACCTTCGATGGAATACATCCTCGGCACTATGCCCTCCTGGACCCAGACCAGAGACCAGCTTGCTGTGGTTGCGAAGGTCTTTCAAGCTATTGAGATCGTTGGGGTGTTACCTCGCATCCGACAAGTAGTCATCACCAACCGTATCATGAAACATAAGCAGGACCAGGAGCGCATCGCCTGTAGGGACATTGGTATGATTCCAAATTTGTATAGTCTGTACGGTCGCTTGCGGCAGTCCGAAACTCGACGCTGGGAGCGCATAACAAAAATGTCATGCTTGGTCACCAGTCCGGCCGATCCGTCATGGAAGTTGTATTCCTGCTGTCCTTGGAAGCAGAGTCGGCAGCCTCGGATCAACGTCAACACTCGGGGGCCTTCTTATGAGACCTCAGCAATCTTATATCAGCATGTCGGCCGCCAAATATTGTGGACGAGAGGGCGAGAGTCTTCTGGCTACCACCCAAACAAAACATCCTGGCTGCAGCTTTAAACCAGTACGCGGCAAGGCGGGTTTTGATATTCCAAGGGTTTGCGCTGCAGCTGGCTTTCCCCATGTATGGCATTGCTGCTGGTTGCTCGTTTGCTACCAATCTGATCCAAATGTATTGCTTACCTCCGCTCCCGAAATGGAGCATTCGATGTCATCTGGTGGGCCTTACCATCTTCATCGACGATCTTCTGGGACAGCGCTCAGCAGGTACGAAGACCCCCTCTCCTCCGTCTCCTCCTCCCGCTCCTCCTCCTCCTCCTCCTCCTCCTTCTCCTCCTCCTCCTCCTCCTCCTCCTGCTCCTCCTCCTCATCCTCCTCCTCTGCTCCTCCGCCTCCTCCTCCTCCTCCTCCTCCTCCTCCTCCTCCTCCTCCTCCTCCTCCTCCTCCTCCTCCTCCTCCTCCTCCTCCTCCTCCCCCCTTCCTCTCCTCCCCCTCCTCCTCCATCCTCGTCCTCCTCCTCCTCCTCCTCCTCCTCCTCCTCCCTCCTCCCTTCCTCCTCCTCCCTCCTCCTCCTCCTCTCCCTCCTCCTCCTCCCCCTCCTCCTCCTCCTCCTCCTCCTCCATCCCCATCCCTCTCCCCCTCCGCCTCCCCTCCCCCCTCTCCCTCCCTCCCTCCTTCCTTCATTCCTTCCTCTTCCGTTCTTCTCCTCTTCCCCCTCTGTCCCTCCCCCCCTCCCTTCCCCCCCAGCGAGAGAGAGGGCGCGCGCCGGCGACGCCGCGCCGCCAAGCGCGCCCAGGGAGCCCAGCACGCCCAGCGAGCCAAGCCCAAGGGCTCCTCCAGGCGACGAGTGGCCACGACCAGCGACGACTGGCGATGACGACGACGACCAGCGACGACGACGACGACGACGACGACGACGACGGCGACGACGACGACGACGACGGCGACAGCGGCGGACAACGACCACAACGGACGACGACGATGAGGACGACGACGGCGGCGACGACGACAACGGCGACGGCGACGACGACGACGACAACAGCGACGGCGACGGCGACGACGACGGCGACGGCGACTGCACCGTCGACGGCGACGGCGACGACAACGACGACCACGATGACGACGACGACGACGACGACGACGACGACGACGGCGAGGGGGCGACCATGTGGAGGAGGGAGTGGGGGGGAAGAGGAGGACCACGACGACGTTGACGAGGGGGAATGAACGCGATGTGGCACGGTCGTGGAGAAAGAGGGCTCTTCTGGCGGGCCCTGAGTTCCGCTCTGTTCTTTGTGTCTTTGTTTGTTTCTCTCTCTGTCTCCCTTTGTCTTTGTTTCTCTCTCTCTCTCTCTCTCTCTCTCTCTCTCTCTTCTTTACAAAGACTATATGGAGAAGGGGGTGAATAGCTAGATGGGGTGTATACATACACACATATATATATATATATATATACACACTAGAACCACGCGCGAGCTTCGGTTCTAGCCGGCTCCGAAGACGGCATTAGCAGGCACGGGTCCGAGTCCGAGGAGTGAGAACGAGGGAGGAGAGAGAAGGAGGCTAGAGGAGGAGGAGGAGGAGGAGGAGGAGGTGGGAAGAGGAGGACACATGTGTACATACAGACAAGTGCACACAAACAGGCACGTACAAACAATACCTGTGCGCGGGTCGTGAGTCAGGGGCATCTTGGTTGCCTTTCGGTGCCTCGCGGAACGATTTTCATAGACTTCTTGGACGCCCCTGCGGGGCCTCTCGGGGCCTCTGGGGGGCCTCTTGGGAGCTTCTGGGGCTCTCTTGGGGGCGTCCTGGAGGCCTCCCAGATGGTCTTGGCGGCAAGTTGGGAGCCAGACGGCCCAAGATAATGCCCCACGGCCCTTCTTGGAACCTTCTTGGGGCTCTCTTGGGGCTCCCTTGGAGCCCGCTTGGGGCTCACTTAGGCAGTCTTGGGGCCCTCCTGGGCCGTCTTGGGGCTGTCCTAAGCCGTCCTTGGGCGCCTCTTGGGGCTGTTGGGGCGCACTGATATCTGGATATGCTTAAAATATACGCTTAGTTTGGTCTCCTGGTTGGACCTCTCTTGGGGCGTATTGAGGCCCTCTTGGCCCTTCTGAAACCATCTTAGGCCGTCTTGAAGCGTTCCTGGGCCCTCTTGGGGCCCTCTTGGGGCTCCCTCGAGGCCCGCCTGGGGCTGTCCTGAGCCGTTGTGGGGCCCTCCTGCCTGGGCCGTCTTGGGGCTGTCCTAAGCCGTCCTGGGGCGTCCTTGGGAGCCTCTTGGGGCTGTTTGGGCGCACTGATATCCAAGGGAGCGGATATGCAAAAACATATTTTACGTAAGGAATGAAACCATTTTGGCATCCCAGGGCCCTCGTGGGGGGCATCTTGGACCTCCCTTGGGGCGTCTTGAAGGCCTCTTAGCCGTTCTGGAAGCCGCCTTGGGCAGTCTTGCCCTTCTTGGAACCTTCTTGGGGCTCCCTTGGGGCCCGCTGAGGGCTCACCTAGGCCGTCTTGGGGCCCTCCTGGGCCGTCTTGGGGCTGTCCTAAGCCGTCCTGGGGCGTCCTTGGGCGCCTCTTGGGGCTGCTTGGACGCACCGATATCCAAGGGAGCGGGTATTTTAGCATACTATGCTAAAATATATGTTTTACTCAAGGAATGGGGCTGTTTCGATCTCCCAGGGCCGTCGTGAGAGGCCTCCTGGACCTCTCTTGGGACGTTTTGAGGGCCGCTTGGCCCTTCCGGAAGCCATCTTGGGCCGTCTTGAAGCGCTCCTGGTGCCCTCTCGGCGCTCTTGGGAAGCTCTCGAGCGGTCCGGGAGCCTCTGGGGGTCGTCCAGGAAGCCTTCCGGAGAGAGGGGGGGACCGAGGTACAAGGGGGGTGCTGGCCCGGGGCCCCGGGCCCGGATCTCCCATATGTCTGTATGTCTGTCTGTCTGTCTGTCTGTCTGTCTGTCTGTCTGTCTGTCTGTCTGTCTGTCTGTCTGTCTGTCTGTCTGTCTGTCTGTCTGTCTGTATGTATGTATGTATGTATGTATGTATGTATGTATGTATGTATGTATGTATGTATGTATGTATATATGTGTGTGTGTATGTATACACATCGAAGTATATATATATATATATATATATATGTATATGTATAGGTATATATATAGGTATATATATATATATACCTATATAAATATATACACACAGACGTGTGCTGCACATCTTCTTCCTGTCACGTCTCCCCCCCTCCGCCCCCACCCCTCGTCCTGCTGCTGCTGCCCCTGCCCCCTCCGCTCCCTCCCACGCTCGCCTCCGCTCCCCGCCCCCCGCCACTCCCTCCCCCCTTCGCGCCTGCCTCCTGCAGGAGCCCCTCCTGCCCTCCCTCCCTCTTCCTCCTCTGGCGGCGGCCACCACCATCACCACCACGACGACGACCACGACCACGACGACGACGACGACGACGACGACGATGCTGGCGACGGCCAAGACGACGACGACGACGACCACGAAGATGACGACGACGACGACGATGAGAAAGACAATAACGACGACGACGAAGACGACGACAACGACGACAACGACGACAACGATGACGACGACGACGACGGCGACGGCGACGACGACGACGACCACGACGACGACAGCGTCGCTGCGCGGCGCCCGTGCGGGCTGTCCGAGCGAGGCCGCGCCGGCGGAGGCACCGCCGAGGAGCGAGCAGATGTCCTCGCCCCCCCGCCGGCGCGTGGTCCCCAGGGGCCGTCGGCAGCGCCGTCGTCGGCCGCGTTTCGGTCGGCCCCCAGGGACCGCTTTCTCGATCGAGCGACCGTCGATCGAGCGGTTGTTCACAAGTTTCGACCAGTCTGGAGGCCCGCTTCGGGCCCGGAGGTCGTCAGATCAAGGGAGCGGTGCGCTTCTGGGTCGAGTCCGGGGAGTCTGGGGAGTCCCGGGGGTCCTGGGAGTCGGGGGAGCCCGGGGAGTCCAGGGAATCTGGGGGTCCCGGGGAGTCCAGGACCCAGGTGCGCACCAAATCTGCAGATCAATAGCTCGGGATGGGGAGACAGTCCCTGAAAACGGTCCAGACCTCCGGGGAGCCACAACCGAAAAAAACAAGGCGTCGAATGTCTGGGGAGGGAGAGGGGCGGGGGACAAGGAGGCGAAGGAACGGGGAAGGAAACAATGAGAGGATGGGGAGGGGGATTAGCAGCAGCAGCAGCAGCAGCAGCAGCAGCAGCAGCAGGGTAGAAGGGGGAGAAGAAACCACGAGGAGAATAGAGCGGAGTAGACTCTAGAGCAACGACAGCCGAATGCACACTTCCGGCCTGAAAAAGGTGGCGCCTGAGTGGCTGGAGGAAACGTGTGGTAGGGAGAAGAGGAGGAGGAGGAGGAGGAGGAGGAGGAGGAGGAGGAGGAACTCAACGAGCTCGCGCTTCATGTATGACCAATGACAACGAGAAGGAGGAGGAGGAGGAGGAGGAGGAGGAGCAGGGAGGAGGAGGAGGAGCAGTGTTATCCTATGAGGCCGCCAGCGGCAGTCAAAGACTTATGTGGGATTCTTCCAAATCCGCCGATCCGGCGTGTGAGTTTAAAGGGGGAGGGGGGGACCGGGGTGGCTTTGCTGGGGTAGGGGGAAGGGATCCCGGTGGCGTGGGTTCCGGTGGCGCGGGGGGGGGGGTCCAGTCCCCCGTCCTGCCTGTGGACATGGGGAATTGGGGGAAGAGGGGGGGTGGTTCCGGTGGCCAGGGTGGCCCTGCCGGGGTAGGGGTGGGGGGGGGGGTCCGGTGGCGCGGGTTCTGGTGGCACGCGTGGGGAGGTCCGGTCCCCCGTCCCGCCTTTGGACAAGGGGGGATATTGGAGGAAGGGGGGGGGGTCCGGTGGCGCGGGTTCCGATGGCGTGGGGGAGGGGAAGAGGGGGTTCCGTGGCGTGTGAGTTTGAAGGGGCCTCAGCTACAGCCTCGAGGCTGAGCCTTCAGCCTCGGGGGGGGATGCCGGGAAGGCTCTGCCGGGGAAGGAAAATGGGGTTCGCGTGTACGCGGGGTAACGTCCGTGTACGCGAGAAGGGAAAACGGGGAACGAGCGGGAAACTGGGAACAAATGGGGGAGAAGACGAAGGGGGCAGTGAAATGCGTGTCTGTTGTGTGGTGCGTGTATGTGTGTGAGGGTGTGTGTGTGTGTTGTGTTTGTGTGTATTGTGTGTTTGTGTGTGTGTGTTTGTGCAGTGTGCGTGGTGTGTGCGTGTGTGTTGCTGGCGTGTGCGTGTTTATGTGTCTGCGAATGTGGCACGCGTGTGTGAAAGTGGCGTGTGTGTGTGTGTGTGCGTGTGTGTGTGTGTGCGTGTGTCTGTGTGCGTCTGTGTGTGAGTGTGTGAGTGCGTGAGTGCGTGAGTGTGTGAGCGTGTGAGTGTGTGTGTGTGAGTGTGTGAGTGCGTGAGCGCGTGAGTGTGTGAGTGTGTGAGTGTGTGTCTGTGTGTCTGTGTGTCTGTGTGTCTGTATGTATGTGTGTCTGTGTCTGTGTGTCAGTGTGTCTGTGTGTCTGTGTGTGTTTGTGTGTGTCTGTGTGTCTGTGTGTGTCTGTGTCTGTGTGTGTCTCTGTGTGTCTCTGTCTCTCTGCGTGTCTCTGCGTGTCTCTGTGTGTCTCTGTGTCTGTGTCTGTGTGTGTCTGTGTGTGTCTGTGTGTGTGTGTGTGTCTGTGTCTGTTTGTGTCTGTCTGTGTGTCTGTCTGTGTGTCTGTGTGTGTGTGTCTGTGTGTGTCTGTGTGTGTCTGTGTGTGTCTGTGTCTGTGTGTGTCTGTGTGTGTCTGTCTGTGTGTTTGTGTGTGTGGCCTCTATGTGTCTGTGCGTGTGTCTGTGTGTGTGTGTCTGTGTGTGTGTCTCTGTGTGTGTGTGCGTTTCTGTGTGTGTCTCTGTGTGTCTGTGTGTGTCTTTGTGTGTCTGTGTGTGTGTCTGTGTGTGTGTCTGTGTGTGTGTCTGTGTGTGTCTATGTTTGTCTGTGTGTGTCTGTGTGTGTGTCTGTGTGTGTGCGTCTGTGTGTGTGTCTGTGTGTGTCTGCGTGTGTCTGTAGTTGTATATGTGTGTCTGTGTGTGTATCTCTGTGTGTGTGTGTCTGTGTGTCTGTGTGTGTGTGTGTGTCTGTGTGTCTGTGTGTGCGTGTCTGTGTGTGTGCCTGTCTGTGTGTGGTGTGTGTATGTCTGTGTGTGTGTGTCTGTGTGTGTGTCTGTGTGCGTGTCTGTGTGTGTGTCTGTGTGTGTGTGTCTGTGTGTGTGTCTGTGTGTGTGTCTGTGTGTGTTCGTGTGTGTGTCTGTGTGTGTGTGTCTGTGTGTGTGTGTCTGTGTGTGTCTGTGTGTGTGTCTGTGTGTGAGTGTGTATGTGTGTCTGTGTGTGTGTCAGTGTGTGTGTGTGTCTCTGTGTGTGTCTCTGTGTGTGCGTGTGCGTGTGTGTGTGTGTGTTCGTGTGTGTGCGTGCGTGTGCGCGTGTGCGTGGGTGCCTGTGTGTGTGCGTGCGTGCGTGCGTGCGTGCGTGCGTGCGTGCGTGCGTGTGTCTGTGTGTGTGTCTGTGCGTGTGCGCGCGTGTGTGCGTGTGCGTGTGCGTATGCGTGTGCGTGTGCGTGTGCGTGTGGGTTTGCGTGTGCGTATGCGCGTGCGTGTGCGTGTGAGTACGCGTATGCGTGTGCGCGCGCATGTGCGTGTGCGCGTGCGCGTGCGCGCGCGCGAGCGCGTGCGCGTGCACGTGCGCGTGTGCGTGCGCGAGCGCGTGCGCGTGCGCGTGCGTGTGCGTGTGCGTGTGCGCGTGCGCGTGCGCGTGCGTGTGCGTGTGCGTGCGCGTGTGCGTGTGCGTGTGCGTGCGCGTGTGCGTGTGCGTGTGCGTGTGCGTGTGCGTGTGCGTGTGCGTGTGCGTGTGCACGTGCGTGCGTGCATGCGTGCGCGTGCGTGTGCGTGCGTGCGTGCGTGCGTGCGCGCGTGCGTGCGTGCGCGCGTGCGTGCGTGCGCGCGTGCGTGCGTGCGTGCGCGCGCGCGTGCGTGCGTGCGTACGTGCGTGCGTGCGTGCGTTCGTGCGCGCGTGCGTGCGTGCGTGCGTGCGTGCGTGCGTGCGTGTGTGGGTGCGTGCGTGCGTGGGTAGGTGGGTGTGTGCGTGCGTGCGTGTGTGCGTGTGCGTGTGTGCGCATGTGCGCGTAATGTCTGCGAACGTGTGCGTGCTTGTCTGTCGGCGAAGTGTCGCCGCCCAGTTTGGGGGGCACCCCAAGCGACCCGGATCTGCGGCACGGGCCGAAGGCCACTACAATACGGGCCCATGCCCTCCAGACCACCTTGACCTATACCTACGCCGCCCAAAGTTCGCACTCACTGGGACCCAAGCAAGACAACGTCAACGAACCAGTTGGCGTTGAACCACCGAGCCCTACCACTGGCGAAGATGTCCCGACCATTAACACACTGATGAAATCATCAATGTTGATGAAGATGGTCACCCAGATTCCAAGGACATGCTATGTGATACATCACATTTCCAGGCAAGCGCATGACTGACCATAGGTGGGATACCTTACCCTGTACTTCAAGCACGTGCAGCGTTATCAACGCGTGGGTTGTATAGCATAGTACTTCAAACATGTGCAGCGGAAGCCATCGATGGTGTCCCTCAAAAAATAGATCAAACGCTCGCAGTGTGTATATTCGATATGTTATCGTGCAACGAACCCCAAACATGTACAGCATTAACCATGTGTGGTCTCTGATAAATGTATGATGTTATGTGGTTGGCTCTTTCGCCTATGTGGGTGTTAGTTGGTATGTTGTGTTACTTCCTGTACTCCTTCGCGTTCCTGCTCGAAGCCCCCTGAGGCCATTTGCCCTGTCGCCCTTGCTTAGGCCCCGTTTAGGAAGAACCTGAAAGAACGAACGAACGAACGAGGAGAGAGGAAGGAGGAGGAGGCGGAATGGGGGAGGCGAGGGCAAGGGGGAAGAGGGGAAAGGCGGAAGGGGAGAAGCAAGAAAGAGGAGGCGGGGAGAGGGGGGACGAGGGGAGGGGCAAGGAGGGGGGAGGAGGGAAAGGGGAAATTAAACAGAGAGCGAAGGTGGAGGGAAGCGGACGCGTGGGCAAGGGGAAGAAGGAGGGATGGGGGCGGGGAGGGAAGAAGGATACGGGAGGCAACACCTGAACAAGACTCTCGTACAGTCAACCCGTATAATAAGGACGCGCGAAAAGGATGTAAGGGCCTTGGAAGGCCATGTCGACACTTTGCAAGCGGGGCGCGGCCAGCGAACGCGGCCAAAGATGGGCCGAAGGGTAAGGATGCAAGGGTCACTGTGCAAAGTCGCTCATCCTTGCTGTGCGGGTTGACTGTACCCACGAGCTCAAGAACCGAATGCAGAGTCCAAATAAATGTTCCTTATGGACAGTAGGTGCCCTAAATGTCTTCCCATTGCAACCGCTTCCAGCCATGCTCACGCAGATGCTGTCTGCGGGTCATTCGACGTTCTGCTTTGTCAGCGGCGAAGACGGCGATGATGATGACGACGACTACGACCACGACCACCACCACCACGACCACGACCACGATCACGACCACGACGACGACCACGGCCACGACCACGACCACGACGACGACCACGATGACGACCACGACCACGACGACGACGCGACGACGACGACGTTGACGACGACGTTGATGACGACGACGACGACGACGACGACGACGACGACGACGACGACAACGACGACGATGGCGGAGGGGGGGAGGGGAGTAGGGAGAGAGGGACGGAGCAAGCTAGGTGCACTCGCGCCATATCTGACATCCGACACCTCCCTACCATTATTAACCATTGCGCTGATGTGTACTCTATCCACGGACGCATGGCATGGCCGACCTGGAAGTCCACACAAGACCCCATCGTGCTATGCACAATCGGAAAGGGAAGCCGCGTACATAAGAGGAGGAGGAAAAAGAGGAGGAGGAGGAGGAGGAGGAGGAGGAGGACGCGGGTGAGCAGGAGGATGAGCAGGAGGAAAAGGAGAAGGATGAGGAAGGAGGAGGACGAGGACTAATGGCAGCAGCAGTAACTGGAGCGGAAGAAGGAGAAGCAGGACGAGCGGGGGAAGGCGGAGGTGGGGGAAAGAGTGGGGCGACAACGATGAGGAAGGACCCGGATACAGAAAAGTGGCCCGCGCTGGGGCGAGAGCGCCGTTCTGAAGGACGGGAGTACAGCGCCGATCCGAAGACGAGCCCCACACCGCAGCGGGAGCACCATGTTTGAAACACCAGAAACGGACATATCGCAGAAGCACATGGGAAAACACAGCTCGGCCAATCCTGTGCGCGAGAAACGGGGAACGCCAAGGGGGGCCGCACATCTTCCGCTCAGGGGCAGGGGAGAGAGGATTGAGGCTCAAGGGGCGAGGATCGAGGAGCGAGGGGCGAGGACCGAGGATCGAGGGGCGAGGGGCGAGAACCGAGGGTCGAGGGGCGGGGATCGAAGGTCGAGGATCGCGGGTCGAGGATCGAGGGTCGAGGGTCGGGGATCGAGGGGCGGGGATCGCGGGTCGAGGATCGAGGGGTGAGGATCGAGGATCGAGGGTTGAGGATCGAGGATCGCGGGGCGAGGATCGAGGGTCGAGGGGCGCGCGGAGGGGGGCCGCTCTCCTGCCGCACACAAGGGGGGGGGGGGGGGGGGGGCCCAAAGGGAGAGGGTCGTCGAGCAGTGCTCGCGCCGTGCAGCCGTCGAGGGAGGGAGGAGAGGACGAGGGGAAAGAGGGGGACGAGGAAAGAGGATGAGAGGGAGGACGAGGAGGAGGACGAGGGGGACGAGGAAGAGGAGAGAGGGAGGACGAGGGGGACGAGGGGGAAAGGAAGAGGAGAGAGGAGGGGGACGAGGAGGCCTCGACCCTCGATCCTCGAGGAGCAAGGGGTCGAGGATCGTGGGCGAGGGTCGAGGATCGAGGGCCGATCGGATTTTCAGCCCGACGGCGGCGGACGGCTCGACGACGGCGGCGGACGGCTCGACGACGGCGGCGGACGGCGCGACGACGGCGACGGCGGGCCACGACGCCGAGGCGTGAGCCCCTCATATGGGGCACTGCTCGGGGGGGGGGGGGGGCAAGCCCAGGGGGGGAGACA